TCGCGTAAAGCTGCAATTCAAAACAATTCGAAACATGATTTAGCAACTTTTGATTTTAAATTGAGATCCTAGAATACTGTTTTTCTCGGAATATGAAGCTGAAGCTGAGCTGAAACTTCATCAAGTAAGTTGTTCAGTATCCTTCATTAGATTTTGAACACTTTTGTTGCTTCAAACGAACAAAATGCACTAATTACAAATGATTGACTATAGCTTTAATCTGAACTACATGTACCTATTAGTTATGGTTTTGAAACCAGATGGCCAGTACTGGCTTGCTCAGTTGTTCAAGGTTAAGACATTCGAACTTGAAAGCAGGAGGTACATGTAGTGGGTTCAAGCTTGGACATTCAAGCTTGGACATTTGTCGTACTTTTACAAAATCATACGCAGTGTATCGCAACACAGTTGACTCTCATTAATACAAACACTTTTAATACAAATTCTGGTTAAAGCAAACATGAAGCCTTGGTCCCGACTGTGCATTTATGTGCACACTGAATGGGACTTACGCTTCTCTTAGTACAAAATTTGGATATAACAAACATTTTGACTAAGTCTTGCTGAGTTTGTATTAACAAGAGTCGACTGTACGTGTATTTTACCGTAATGTCTTTCAGCAGTTAGTATTCCAGCATTGACTTTTTCATATTTTATCGCCTTATCAATTTCCCATATTGTGTACTTAATGATAATGTATTGCAGTACTTAAAGTTACCTTTGGTCTTTCAACCTCTGTAATCTAATAATTTACACGGTTTATTTTTATTATCTTATCTCAATTTGTGTACTTACATGTATCAAAGTTTATATTCGGAAATGTTAAACGAAATTTACTAGTTTCAAGCAGTTCTTTTTTTAGCTTGTTCATTTTACATTTCCACTGGGGCTTTCAGTATGTTTATATTATTCATTACAATAATGGGGTTTTATTAATTTGGGTTCAGATTTTGGATGTATTTTTCATCTTTCAGTTATGTTCAGCCAATGTATCTACATGTAGATTTGTACTCTTTTAAGAATTAAAGTTTAAAGTGCAGGGTTTTATGTGTATATATCTGGTATGTTTTTATAATAGTTTCCAATTTCTATTTTATATAAAATGTAAGAGTAGTGATATTTTTAAGGTATGTTCACTCTAACGTTCCGTAGTCATGTCCATCCAAAATGTATTTAGAGACACCCAAATTGATCCGTAGACGTTATCAATTTTCCATATCTTTCTTGTGCAGTCACTTGCAACTTTCAAACATCAAATTTAATTCAAAACTTTGAACAGTTTGGTTTGACGTGACTCTGCAACACCAACCTGGAGTTTTATATGGTGTAATATCGGGAATTAAGAATGCATTTTTATACACATGTAGTTCTGCTGTACCTTGCTCGCTTGATATATACATTGTACATGTACGTGTTAGCAGAACCGTTGTGTGGGGAACTTTTCTATTGTTAGGAAAATTGTGGCCAGAGTTTTGGGAACTTTTAACTGTCCACAAGGCATTTTTGGTCCTCATACCGGTAACTATCATTCAACAGGTGTGTGGTCCCCACAATGAAGGAATGAGTATACATGTGTACATGTACATGGTGATACTTTGCCTCAAGAAGCACTGCTTACATTTATAATAAAGGGGGAATATTAATTCATGGACTTTTTCATGCTGCTTTATATTTGCACACCCTCAATCATGTATCGTCTTGGCTTAATTGCATCAGTCCGAAAGGTGATATTTCAAACGTTGATTTAGTTTTTTTTTTCTTTATCAAAACACAATGTCAGTCGTTAACACCCTCAAATTCTGAACAAAATTTATTTGACTGCTTTGACAAATATTAAAAATTGGTGTCATGCGGCAAGTCTGTTTCAGATCGGTTGTCCTTTATTTCAACAGTTTTGTAATTACTAAATTTTCAAATCATCAATAAGGTCTGGTTCCATATGTGTCCACAAAATTGTTTTTTTTTTATGTATGCGTGATTGTGGCTGTGCACTAGTAGAAAATGCGTATACATGTATGTAGTGCACTTCTGAAATCAGTAGACAGAGTAGCAAATAAAGAACTTTGCAAGACGACAACTTGTGTCGGTCTCTTTCTTTAATAAGTTTATCCAGCATCTTCTACACTATTTAAATAAATGAAGAAATGAAGTATTAAATAAATAATGTAAAAGAAAATCACAATGCAGAATGACTTTTAACGTTGTCACCACTCCAGAATTTGGCTAAATTATATCTTTTGTATGTATAAGAGGAATGGTAACCCCGGATCCTATGGACACACCAACAGACAATGAAAGACGGGAATAAAACAACTTCTTACTTTCTTCAATTATACTTAAAAAAAAAAAAACTTCACAACTTCTTTACATATACACAGCAAATAGATCTTACAATTCAATTCCTCTAATTTCAATTGAAGTCGATAAAACTCTTATCTTCACGTCAGTTCACTTCAACTCAAAATTATTATTTCCAACAATTATCAAATGGTTAAATGCTTGGTTTCTCTCCGGTGTATTCTTATTCGTTCACAAACTAATTTCAATTATATTAAGAACTTGTTTTTCTGTGTTACGCTAAGTTTTCCAAACTGCACCGGTTGTACTTATTTCGTGTGATTCACAGATTTAATAAAACTTATTTTTGATACTCTCCAAACTGATGCTGAGCCACAAGTTGCCCAGGACTGGTCTGCATACACGCTACATCAGTATCTTGCTTCAATGTCTACGGCTGCTGCTAGTCAATGGTAGACTCCTCTCCAGTCGGTGTTACTGCCGACGGATCACTCAATATGGCCATCTAAAATAAATATAAGATCCAAAACCTTTCGAGTTTTCTCGTAATACATAAATTCATACATCCCTACCATCTCGACATGATCTGGTTTGCTTTCCAAATCCTCAAGAAATATCTCATGTAGGTATACTAAAATCCCGATTCCTAAAATCCTTACTTCGAAATTCTCAATCATAATAGCTGACTTTTCCGTTATCAAACTCTTCAATCCTAATTCTCATGTTCAAACTAATTCTTAACGTCAAATTCAAGATTTGTTGTTACTGATCCAAATTCTACATTTTTACGATCTTTGACTTCTTTTGGTCGTTTCAAAATCATGCTAGTAAATAATAACTTTTAAAGATCAATCCAATCTTCATTTCAAAATCAACTTCATCAATCTTAAAGATCACTCCGTTAATAAAGATTTATACAAAACTCAATAGATCAACACTTACGGTAATTTAGCTGTGCGAATACCTGGGGAGGTGAACGGTTGCTATGTGATGTCAAGATGACCGGGACACTATGACGCTAGAATTTGGCCTGGATTTGCCAAATTCGGGGAAACGGAACTGAACTTTCCGTTTTCCCGCAGGATCAAACTGATCCAAAATCTAAATCTGCTGTAATCAGATTTCAGGTGCAAGGCAAGCTGAAACCGGTCTGGCAAACACGATCACTCTCTCTCCCATCTTCACTCTAGATCGTCTCTCGATCAGGTCTAAAATGTCTTCTCCCTCTCTCAACAAAATTCACTCACTTCACAACATGGAAAAAGTCCTAAACGCTGCATTTGGTTCAATACAATACGATCTGTTGTTCAACGATTAAGATTTATATAACAATTACCATGGCCTATGTACAAAACGTATGGGATGGGGTTTTTGCGACTCGACTACGCCTAGTTTTAATGTTGTAAGTGGCTGCGGAAAGTCTACGCGGGAATACGTTATTGGTTAAAAACTTTAAGACGGATCCATTCGATGCGGGGTAACGTATACCTTCAGTATCTCATAAAAAAAACATGCAACTCGCACGGCACAATAAACACACGGAACGCGTTAAAATAGGTTTCTCGGTTGCACTGTAACAAACGTTAACAAATATATACGGGTATGATCATTCCCTACACAATATCGTACAAACGTATCTACATTACACTATATACATCTGAAGCTTAGTTTTAATACAAATGTAGCTTTTTGGTCATGTGTCATTGAAAATTTGAAAGTAAAATTTATCAATCCTCCAAAATGTTTGGGGAATATAGCTTGGTGCTACACATCAACCGTTGTTGATAGAAATTAATGCATTGCGTACATACTGGAAACTTCACAATATAGTTGAATAAATGAATAACGACCCATTACAAATTGTTCAATGATGAAACAGCCAGGCGCGGTTCTAGAGCCAATTTTTTTTTTGGGGGGGGGGGGTGGGGGCAAGCAAGGTGGATCCAGAATTTTTTTTTCAGGGAGGCGTGCTGAAATGTAGACAGCTTATTTTCTCCGGACACTTAGGGCCTCTAGTGGGGGAGGAGGAGGGACGGGGAGGGGGAGGGGGGGGGGGGCTCGTGCCATATTTTCAATGGGGAGCGCTGATAAAATCCTACAATCAGGCACGCTATATTAACAAAAAGTGTAAAAAATGCACCCTTCTCATTTTAGGGGGAGACCGTTCCAATGTACGTCAAATTCTTACATTTTGCTAGTGCATTTTTTGTAATGGAATTGGGGGGGGGGGGGTAGACAGAACTTTGGGAGGGCTAAAACCCTCCCTAGCCCCCCATAGAACCGCCACTGGAACCAGCAAATAAATGTCTGTATTGCTGAGGCATGTTAAACATATATGGCAACTTTTGTCTTATTTTTACCCGTTTTTTAATTTTACTGGGTCGAGTTTTTAATCCGACTTATTTGACGTCCTTATGCCATTGTGTTATGTGGAATGTGGTTCAACCCACGCTTTCCCCCATTGAAAGAATCGGTTGACCCACTTTCACCCGGTGACGTGGGTCCGGTTCCGGGTTCGCTGCGATTAATGTTAGGTATGCCTTAATGTTAATATCAAAGATCCTATATAATAGCGCCGCTTATTAATTTGTGCATGCTATAGCTGTTGCTATTAAGTAAAACGGGAACCATAGCGTATCATTTTTCTGTCGACAAGATCTTTAGATTCCGGCTCCAAAATGGCAAGTTTGGCCAAAAGTCACATCAATCCGTGTATTAAGTATACACTTTTCGTCCTCAACTTCTTATTATGGGTAAGTATTTTTTTTTGGAAACACTTAATTGAATTGAATATAATTTATCGCCCACAGTCGGTGAAAGTTGATATTCTACCAACCGTGCCGTGGCCCACTTTCCGGACAGCCAATCTCTAGTACTAGTACTAGTACTTTAGTAGTATAGTTATAGTACTAGTACTGAGGTAGAATTGAGTTAGACCCGTGAACGTGAGTAGGCCTAGTCACAATTTGGAAAAAAGAACATGAACATGATGGACATTGCTATAAATTGTTATGATTAAAATCTGTGGTTGTGGGAGGTCACTGAACTTTTTTTTAAACTAAATTTGGCATGTTCCTCAAGGCTCAAGCATGTTTTCGTGTTGTTTTTCAACATGCCACTAATTGCCAGGCCTTTTTTTCGGTGATCGTGTAGGCCTAGCCCTAGGCCTATCGAGCGCAATTTGAGTCCCCCACTCAAGTTTAAACCTGTGCACGCAAGTTTAAACTTGCGCGAGGGACTCCCGAAGCACGCAAATTACTGCGCAATAGCCGTAGCCTTGTTGCCATGTTGTGATTGGACGATTAACAACGTTCGGTTGTTCGCTGTTTAATAACTCCAACGTACGCGAGTACGACGTGCGTTTCATGTATATTGGCAAAATAAAAATGAATGAATGAAGTAAAGAAAGGGGTTGATTTATTTTAAAATTAAAACAATACTCAAAAAGAAGCCATGGATCAAATTTCATACGCAAACGTGTATATGTATATAAAATTAATAAATTTAGACGCATAAAATAAGGGTTTTTTTGTTATAAAGAAAATATGTATGTGTATAGGCCTATATAAATTTAATAAATTTAGATGCATAAAAAAAAATTCTAAAGAAAGAAGTAATTCTTCCGTTCCCAACTGCTTTATGCACTAATGTCCAACGAATCATTGCGATGTTCTTTGGATAAGATCATTCCATTTATTTTTGAAAAATGTAGTAAAAAAACACCGAAAAAGTCCACAAATTCATCGGAAAATAAATACCAATACCAATACAACTCTAAATGACACTGTAAATATGTTCAGTTCTCCTGACAAACTTGTCTTTCATTTTTAAAAGTGTCTTTGAACAGTGGAACACCAATGGTTGCAGGAAATTTTTAAATGGCGGCCATCTTGAAAAAAATAAAAACTAAAAAGCCCTGCTTCCTCCCTTTTTTCAAAAACCCTTGACGAGAAACAATTTTTTTTATTCGGCCTTATTCTTTAAAAAAAATACTAATTTAATTAATTTAGCAATTAATAAATTGGATGGTACAATAATTCATTTTGTTTTTAAAAATACTTTGCATAAGATTCCGAGTGCTGTGTAAGTCTTAAAAAATGCATAATTTGAAAAAAAAATTAATGAACTCATTACGAATTTAATTAATTAATGTAATTTATTACTTTAACAATTATTTCATTTGCAGGCTCAATCATTTATCTTAATATTTACATGCTTTAACTTAAAAACGCTATGCAAAATGGTAATTATAAAAAAGTAAATAAATTTATTAAAGATTTAATTAATTAATTTAAATTATTAATTTAATCAATTAATTTGAATTAATGAATAAATATGTTGTTTATTAAACAAAAATCCTAATGAGCCATAAACAATAATACACTTCGTGATGCAAATTAAGTACATAAATTGATCGTATTACCACCCCTTATCTCTGATCCTCTACACAGTCAACCTCATTAGCATAATACTGTTAATAAAATGTTTCAAAAAAGGCATTGTCTCACGAAGCACAGTGGGGCTATTAATCGGAGAAAAATCTGCTTTAAAAATAATGTTACATATCTGCCTGAGTTTACCAGGAAAAAAAATTAGTTTAGCGGCTTTGCGTGCATGGGGAAAAACTATGTAGCGCGCAAGTTTAAACTTGCGTGCGCAATTTGTAGCAAGGAAATTAATGCACGCGCAAGTTTAAACTTGCGTGCGCGCAGGTTTAAACTTGCGCGGGGGACTCAAATTGCACTCATCAGGCCTAGTCATGGTACTTTTTGGTAGTGTATAGCCCCACTTGTGTGGCCTCCGTATTTCGTATAGCGCAGCAATACGGAGGCCTTACATGTGGGGCTAGGTAGTGTAGGGCCCCTGTTTTGATTCGATCAAATTAAAATCAAGAATTTGTATTATTCCTAAAAAATGACACTGTCAACCTAAAGGAGACTTCTCTCAACAAAATGACACTTTTTTGGTAATTTTTGAACAGTTTCCCAGTGCATTGTGGGAGATGGTCGACAAATTTGCAGCGCGGGACATTTAAAATTGTTAGTTTTTCCAGTCAGTAGTTTCGTAAGGTTTTGATTCGAGTATCTGTTTGCCCTTTTCTTTTCTCTTTATCAATAATGGTGTTTTTTGTAAGGCGGCAGAATGCTATGCCCCAATCTATAAAAAATTCTCAAATTGTCTGCAGACACTAATTCAAAGGGGCCATGTTTTGTCGACCGTAAACTTGAAAAATTGACTCTCCAATTGGCAAACTCTTGGTGGCGCACTGCATTGTGAATCGCCCGAATGTCATATCTACTCCCCCATTTCAGGTGTTTTCTATCGGTCTCATTATCATCGGCGTCTGGGCCTTGATTGAGAGACAGAACACCAATCACATCCAAATCTGGGCCGTGATTGAGAGCCAGAACTCCACGCACATCAAGTCTAACCAGCAGGACATCTTCACCGGGTCTTCAATCGTTCTCATCGTCACGGGTAGTGTCAGCTTCATCCTGGGTTTCACTGGCTTCCTGGGAGCTCTCAGAGAGAACTGCTGTCTACTGTTGTTTGTAAGTTGGGTAACAGTAGACCCAGCAACTGGGGCACTACACTTCCCGCTTTTATTCGCATTTCGACTTTGGACGGTCGTACCAGTCCCCTAGCATAGTGAAGACATAAAATCAGTATTTTCACGAACATCAAGCACAAAAAAGTTGCCAAAATTATATATTGTATTATTATATCAGTTTAGCAAACAACTTCTCTACTTTCAAAGGCCCTATGTTCTTAAAAAGACCATTTGCATGGCGCCCCTCTTATTTTTACATTTCTTTGTAGAAATACGGTTGTCCAGTTAAGCAAATGTTAATGTGCAAAAAAATTGGAGTGTGTGCATTCCCTTGTGCTAGCGGCCCCAAAATATTGCCTGCCATGTGATGGAGAATTGACCAGTTATAATTTTCTCCGTCGCACATGATGTTTAGTTAGTATTAGACTGCAAAGTTTCCTGAAATCCATGAAAATCATACCATTTACTGCTTATCATTTTCATCATCACCACTTAAACAAATTGATATCAGAGTGTAAAAAGGTTAACAAGGCATCATTGAATTGTTCATACTGCTTTTTAATGATTTGTGTATTTGTTTTTCGTTATAATTTTGTAGTTCCTTTTGTTCATGTTCCTTATCATCATACTGGAAGGATCGGCAGGAACCCTGGCATTTGACTACAGTCGCGCAGTGAGTTGTCATTACTTTTCCACATTAATGCTTGACTGTACAGGGTGAGTAAAAAAAAGCGGAACCCAAACCCCAGAAAATATATTTCATATACCTTATGAAATTGGCTTTCCAGTCATTATTATTTTTGGTGCTACATATTTTTTTAAATATAGTTTTTGGGAATTTGGTTCTGCTTTTCTTTACTCACCCTGTATAAGTTTCCTTTTTTTGCAGGTGGAGGGATGGTTAGGCACCCCCCCCCCACCAAAAAGAAAAAAGAAATACAGTGTAAATCCATTGGAAAAAAGTGAGAAAAAAAATGCATGTTTATCATAGTTTAAAGAATAAAAACAATATAACAGCTGTTTCTAACATTCATTTTTACCCCTCAGCCGAGAGGCTCGAGGGGTATATTGTCATCGCCTACGGCATCCGTCCGTCCGTCTGTCCGGGCAGCTTAGTTTCCGGATGATAACTTGAGTTAGAAATGTTGTTTGGGATTGTAACTTCGGAAGGGGGTTTCCCTTAGGAGTAGGCAAGTTGGGATTGGTTTTGAGGTCAAAAGGTGAAAGGTCAAGGTCACCATGGTGAGTTAAAGGTAAATGGTGCCCAGATGATAACTTGAGATAGAAATGAGATTTTGGTGTCTAACTTTGGTAGGGGGTTGCCCTTGGGAGTAGGCAAGTTGGGATTGGTTTTGGGGTCAAAAGGTCAAAGGTCAAGGTCACCATGCTGAGTTAGAGGTGAATGATTTCTGGATGATAACTTGACTCTGGCTGAGGGGTTTCAACAGCAATGCTGTTATTTTTCACTTTATTATCTGCTTATTAGATTGTGTTGAACCTTATAAAACCAGGCAACCAGGAGAGAGAACGATTCTAAACAGTAACAAAATGGCGTTTTTTTGCATTTGTTGGAAATTTCTTCATATTCTCCTTATGTTAATGTTTCACCATTTTCAGTTTTACCTAACTGTGGATGAGATCGTGGAGCGCTCCATTGCTCAGTACAGGACGGACTTGGATTTGACCAATTTCATCGACTTTGCACAAAGAACGGTAAGACCACTGTAGACGGACATTGTGGATTTTTCTAGAATAGAGAAATGTACAGAAAGTTTTTTGGTCAGGCTTTGGGTCAAAATGGTTGGGCTTGTAAGCCATTCCATACTGGCCAAAGCAGGTTTTTTTTTTTTTTTATTTATTTATTTATTTTTTTTTTTAAACAAGAAAAAAAAACATACATGTGTTTGATTTTTCGACTTCCATCATTGCTGAAGTATTATAGACGTCATGATTTTAGATACAGTAGATTCTGCACTGCCTGAAGATTTAGAAAATACCTCTTCTGGATATTTTACAGATATTTTTGTGCTAGACGTTAGAAGCGCCGCACTTAGCCGCGGCAAAACTAGAAACGAACAAAACGAAGGAGATATTTGTAGAGCAAGCATAATGTATAGCGTAGTGGTGCAATTTCATCGTCGTTGAACAGTCTGCTGGCTGGAACACCTTTTACCCGGAAGTAGGGGGTGCTGAAGCATATATTCCAGCACCCCAATCCAAAAAGTTGGGGTGCTGCAGCACCACAGCACCCCCCGTTCCCGCGGGCTTGCTAGGATGACATCACAGTTTGGGTCAGGAATATGGACAATTTTATTAGCCTAAAAACCCAAAAAGGCCCTTAACATAGCAATTCCAAACTTGTACATGTAAATAAAATCAATGGAAACAAAGGTAAACTTCGAAGGTTGTATTTAAAAAAAAAATACAAAAAAAATACAGGCTTTTATTTTGTCTGGTTTGTGTGAATCTTGCAGTTGGAGTGTTGTGGTGGCGATGGAGGGTACAAAGACTGGTCTCTGAATCGCTACTTCGACTGCACAGAAGAAAACCCCAGCCGAGAGAAATGTGGAGTACCGTACTCATGCTGTATGAAAACGGAGGATGCTAACGGGGATCCAAATATCATCAATACACAGTGTGGGCTCTTCACTAGGGAACAGGTGATTTGAATCGCTTTTGGTAATTTGTCTTTCTGCAGGTCCGGAAGGGCAAGCAAAGTGTCCTGTTTGCTGACTGACTGACTCCCCATCACTTGTTTACTGAGGGCAGGGCAGTATGGGCTATAGTGTATATGCTCTGTACCAGGGGGGTACAGAGTGTCAGATTGCGATGGGCTAGAGATTAGGAAGCAAAATCAGGGTGGCGAAATTTGCCTGTCGAAAAAAAACATTGTGTTTTAATTGGTCGGCAGGGACAAAGGGCACCACCTATTGTTCGATAGTGTTCATTATTGTCTGCTTCTAACGATGTCCCCGGGCCTGTCTGAAGATGGTGGAACCCTCCCCCCCCTTTCAACTTTGTGGAGGGCGGATGGCCAGGCAAAATCCTGTCTACCTTTTTCCACAGACGATCTGTGGATTTATAAGCAAGAAGACATTTCTATTTTTTAACGGGCAAACAAAAAACTCTGGTTACTTGACGTGCATGAAAAGACGTCCAGTGAATAGCAATTGTGAGTCAATTCGCCTGCTCTCTGGGACCACTTTCACTAGACTTGCCTCAAGTGTCTATTTAGTATTTGGTGCCCCTGCATTGAGTGTTACAGGGTGTTTTTGCTCAATCCATACAAAAAGAATATCGCCAATTAAAGAGAATATACAACATTTGCAAACATCGAAAAACAAAACTACCAATTTTTTACGAAATACCTTACTAGGATGTTGGTAAATTACAGTCTAAATCATCCTGTAAAATTATGGCACCACGTGTGAAGTCATTTTCAAGAAAAGTGGTATTTTGTATAAATTTCCAACGGTGGTCGGCCGACCACCGTTGGAAAAACCTAACTATTTTTCAACTACTGCTCCAAATTTACCATTTTTTTTTTCAGTCCAAATTTTGTTTGCTATTGGTTACATGTTCATGAACGGGTGCAGGCCAGTTAGACTGGTTCCATTACCTTACAATTTTCCAGCATCTATAAATTGGTCCATTTCATCTTTAGTGAAGTCAGGGAACCAGACTACTTGAACATTTTTGTTTTTCTTGGTTTTTTCCAGTTTTTTTGAGCACAAAACTTCAAACACGGCAAGTCAGTGTGACAATATTTGATCTGTTATACTAACCCCTCAAAATAGTTCATTTCTGAAAATTACAGCAAAAGCCAATGATGTACATTCCCTTTAAAATGGCAGATAATGTATTTGTGTCATACATGTGTGTACTTTTCTTATAGACCTCAATTTTCCCTGTAAATATATCAAAGTTCACTTAATACATCCCTGATAATCGCATGCTTCCTAAGAGCCTATGATTAAAAACAAAATCAAAAGCTACCTGGTTGAGATTAGAACCCACAACCTCCTTTCCCAAGTGCAGATGTCTTAACCACCTGACAACTGAACTTGTAACACATTTGTTGTAACACATTTGTTGTAACACATTTGTTGTAATAGTACCTGGTGCCTGCCAAAGTGTCAAACGAGATCCACACTGCAGGGTGCGTGGATAAGTTCCTGGTCTATCTCAGCCAGAAGAGTTACATTGTTGGGCCGACTGCCTTGAGTGTGGCTGCAGTCCAGGTAAGACCCTCCCCCCCCCTCCCCATCAACTGCTCCCTCCCCATCACCTCCCCACCACCCCCCCCCCCCCCACATCCATCCCCAGACCCTGGCCACTGACCCAACCCTGGCCTGGCTCCTTGCCAGACACCCCCACACCTGTACAAACCCACACTTTAGGCCAAAAAAAAAAAGTCTCCGGTTTCTGGTATGGAGCTTGCCCAAAAAGTGGTGCGGCGACGCGGCTTTTTTTTTTGCTTCAAATGTCAGCTGATGACTGCAATTGGTGCCCGACTAAACTTAGTGCAAATATATGGGAGTCCAGAGAGGCCACATAAAGCTTTTTCTTTATCATAACCCCATCTAAAACACGTTAAAATTGTGCAGCAGCAGGATTCCAGTCAAACCAGTGAGTTTGGCAGTTTTCCGACATCTTTTATTGAAAAAAAAAACTTTTTCATTTTGCCGACGCGCATGGCTACGGCGACGCGCGCGCATACCAAAAACCGGAGACTTAATTTTTTTTGGCCTTAGTTCACTTCTTCCAAAAAAACCCAAAGTTGCTAGTTCATTATTCTATTCAAACTCCAAAGGGGTTTTGAAAGGGCGCCCTCTGTTGACACTGGCATGCGATTTTTCAGAGTCGGACCTTGTTTTTTAATCTGAGAGAAAAAGGTGCATATCTCAGACCTCGCATCCCATTTTCAGAACCTTTTTTAAAAGCTAACTCAACTTACCATTGTTTTCCCTTCTCTTTTTACAGTTGCTTGTCATGCTGTTAGCTTTACGTCTGCACCAGCAGATTAAGCTAGAGTGCAGTCGCTACCATAAGTGCAAGAAACGCGGCATCAACAATTTTGCGTAAAAAAGCTCCTCCGGTAGCCGAGGTATTCAGTTGCCGTAACTATGGCAACCCAAACGTTCTTCAACATGTTCTTTCTTACTGGTCACATATTAAAAGGTCATCACACTCCAAGATTGAAAGACAGTATTCATTTTACAAAATAATGGCTCCAAAAATTGGCAGAGTCGAGATGTATTCAAATTTTGATAATTTGTAAGTACCACAAACGCGGCGTCAACAATTTTGCGTAAAAAAGCTCCTCCGGTAGCCGAGGTATTCAGTTGCCGGTAACTATGGCAACCCAAACGTTCTTCAACATGTTCTTTCTTACTGGTCACATATTAAAAGGTCATCGCACTCCAAGATTGAAAGACAGTATTCATTTTACAAAATAATGGCTCCAAAATTGGCAGAGTCGAAATGTATTCAAATTTTGATAATTTGGAACTAGGGCAAATAGTTGTGATTACGTCACAAACAAGCATTCGCATTTCCGTGTGAGCACGAATCGGCCTTAAGTGACTTTGGTAGATCAAATGTGCATTTATGTCTACAATGAATGGGACTGATGTTCCTTAATACCAAATTCCGATATTACAAACCTTTTGGCTAAGTCTGGCTGAGTAAGTATTCCAGCGTTGACTTTTTTAAAATATTTTATCGCCTTATCAAATTCCTGTATTGTGTACTTAACGATAATGTATTGCAGTACTTAAAGCTACCTTTGGTCTTTCAACCTCTGTAATCTAATAATTTACACGATTTATTTCTATTATCTTATCTCAATTTGTGTACTTACATGTATCAAAGTTTATATTCGGAAATGTTAAACGAAATTCACTAGTTTTACGCAGTTTTTTTTTTAGCTTGTTCATTTTACATTTACACTGGGGCTTTCAGTATGTTTATATTATCCGTTACGATAATGTTGGTTTTTAAAATTTGGGTTCAGATATTAGATGTATATACAGTTGAATCTCGTTAGTACAAACTCTGTTAATACAAAATTCTGGTTATAACAAACATGAAGCCTTAGTCCTGACTGTGCATGTATGTGCACAATGAATGGGACTGATGTTTCTCTGAATACAAAATTCTGATATAACAAACAATTTGGCTAGGTCCGAACGAGTTTGTATTAACGCAACACCACTATATATGTGTATTTTTCATCTGTCAGTTATGTATTTCCTCCCCCCAAAATGGATGATTTTGACCTACATGCAGAAGAATTACAGTTTAAAGCGCAGGGTCTTATGTGTATATATCTGGTATGTTTTTATAATAGTTTGCAATTTCTATTTTATATAAAATGTAAGAGTTTTGAGATTTTTAAAGGTATGTCTCACTCTGATGTTCGGGAGTCACGTCCATCCAAAATGTATTTAGAGACACCAAAGGCAATCGTATAGAATTTTAGTTTCAGACAGCGAGATGGTTATCAATTTTCCATATCTTCCTTGTGCAGTCACTTGCAACTTTCAAACGTCGCATTTAATTTAAAACTTGAACAATTTGGTTTGGCGTGACTCTGAAACACCAACCTGGAGTTTTATATGGTGTAATATCGGGAATTAAGAATGCATTTTATACACATGTAGCTGTGCTCATCTTGATATATACATTGTACATACGTACGTGTTAGCAGAACCATTTTGTGGGGAACTTTTCTATTGTTACGAGAATTGTGGCCAAACTTTGGTGGCTTTTGAGTGTCCCCAAGGCATCTTTGGTCTTCATAACTAATGTCAACAGGAGTGTGGTCCCCACAATAAGTGAATGAGCATACATGTATGAGTTCATTGCTGAGGCATATTAAACATATATGGCAACTTTTGTCTTATATCTACCCGTAATTTCATTTTACTGGGTCGAGTTTTTTATATTCCGACTTGTTTGACGTCCTTATGCCATATTGTGTTCTATGGAAAGTGGTTCAACCCGCGCTCTCCCCCAATACAAGAATCGGTTCACCCACTTTCACCCAGTGAACAGAAAATCACTGCGATTAATCTGTGCTTATCATCGATGGTGACCGTTTTAGCCGATTTTCGGCTAACTTTGACAGATATTTTGTTAAAATATAAGTTTAACAGAAAATTTGATAAAATTTAGCCCTGAACACATTCCAATTCGATTTGGGAACAGATCTGCCTTTGAAAAGAAAATTTGGCCGAAAAATTGAGGTAAAAACAGTCAAATTGGTTTTATTTACATATATTTAATCCTCCCCAAAAATGGATGATTTTTGCCTAGATCTGCCAAAATGTGGATGTTTGAATATTGATTCATGTTCCACTCGTCTCCAGAGGTATTTCTGCGTTGTTTTGAGAAACGTCAATTTTTGGCCAAATTTGGTTAAAAATGTAAGGCTAACCCCTTGTTTTTTGGTCAATTATGATCAAAAAATGAAATTCCTTGAACTTGCAGGAAAGATGCTTTAGGTAGCCCTGAACACATTCCAATTCGATTTGGGAACAGATGTGCCTTTGGAAAGAAAATTTGGCCGAAAGTTTTGGGTAAAAACAGTCAAAATTCGGTTTTATTTACATGTATTTCCTCCCCCCAAAATGGATGATTTTTACCTAGATCTGCCAAAATGTGGATGTTTGAATATTGATTCATGTTCCACTCGTCTCCAGAGGTATTTCTGCGTTGTTTTGAGAAAAGTCAATTTTTGGCCAAATTTGGTTAAAAATGTAAGGCTAACCCCCTTTTTTTTTGTCAATTTTGGCCAAAAAATGAAATTCCTTGAAACTTGCAGGAAAGATGTCAAAGTAACCCTGATCACGTTCCGATTCGATTTGGGAACAGATGTGCCTTTGAAAAGAAAATTTGGCCGAAAATTTGGGGTAAAATCAGTCAAAATTCGATTTCATTTACATGTATTTCCTCCCCCCAAAATGGATGATTTATGCCTAGATCTGCCAAAATGTGGATGTTTGAATATTGATTCATGTTCCACTCGTCTCCAGAGGTATTTCTGCGTTGTTTTGAGAAAAGTCAATTTTTGGCCAAATTTGGTTAAAAATGTAAAGGCATTGTTTTTTTGGTCAATTATGATCAAAAAATGAAATTCCTTGAACTTGCAGGAAAGATGCTTTAGGTAGCCCTGAACACATTCCAATTCGATTTGGGAACAGATGTGCCTTTGGAAAGAAAATTTGGCCGAAAGTTTTGGGTAAAAACAGTCAAAATTCGGTTTTATTTACATGTATTTCCTCCCCCCAAAATGGATGATTTTTACCTAGATCTGCCAAAATGTGGATGTTTGAATATTGATTCATGTTCCACTCGTCTCCAGAGGTATTTCTGCGTTGTTTTGAGAAAAGTCAATTTTTGGCCAAATTTGGTTAAAAATGTAAGGCTAACCCCCTTTTTTTTGTCAATTTTGGCCAAAAAATGAAATTCCTTGAAACTTGCAGGAAAGATGTCAAAGTAACCCTGATCACGTTCCGATTCGATTTGGGAACAGATGTGCCTTTGAAAAGAAAATTTGGCCGAAAATTTGGGTAAAATCAGTCAAAATTCGATTTCATTTACATGTATTTCCTCCCCCCAAAATGGATGATTTATGCCTAGATCTGCCAAAATGTGGATGTTTGAATATTGATTCATGTTCCACTCGTCTCCAGAGGTATTTCTGCGTTGTTTTGAGAAAAGTCAATTTTTGGCCAAATTTGGTTAAAAATGTAAAGGCATTGTTTTTTTTGTCAATTTTGGCCAAAAAATGAAATTCCTTGAAACTTGCAGGAAAGATGCCTAAAGTAACCCTGATCACGTTCCGATTCGATTTGGGAGTAGATGTGCCTTTGGAAAGAAAATTTGGCCGAAAGTTTTGGGTAAAAACAGTCAAAATTCGGTTTGATTTACATGTATTTCCTCGCCCCAAAATGGATGATTTATGCCTAGATCTTCCAAAATGTGGATGTTTGAATATTGATTCATGTTCCACTCGTCTCCAGAGGTATTTCTGCGTTGTTTTGAGAAAAGTCAATTTTTGGCCAAATTTGGTTAAAAATGTAAGGCTAACCCCTTGTTTTTTTGTCAATTTTGGCCAAAAAATGAAATTCCTTGAAACTTGCAGGAAAGATGCCTAAAGTAACCCTGATCACGTTCCGATTCGATTTGGAACAGATGTGCCTTTGGAAAGAAAATTTGGCCGAAAGTTTTGGGTAAAAACAGTCAAAATTCGGTTTTATTTACATGTATTTCCTCCCCCTAAAATGGATGATTTTTACCTAGATCTGCCAAAATGTGGATGTTTGAATATTGATTCATGCTCCACTCGTCTCCAGAGGTATTTCTGCGTTGTTTTGAGAAAAGTCTTTTTGGCCAAATTTGGTTAAAAATGTAAGGCTAACCCCTTGCTTTTTTGTCAATTTTGGCCAAAAAATGAAATTCCTTGAAACTTGCAGGAAAGATGCCTAAAGTAACCCTGATCACGTTCCGATTCGATTTGGGAGTAGATGTGCCTTTGGAAAGAAAATTTGGCCGAAAGTTTTGGGTAAAAAACAGTCAAAATTCCGTTTTATTTACATGTATTTCCTCCCCCCAAAATGGATGATTTATGCCTAGATCTTCGAAAATGTGGATGTTTGAATATTGATTCATGCTCCACTCGTCTCCAGAGGTATTTCTGCGTTGTTTGGAGAAAAATCAATTTTTGGCCAAATTTGGTTAAAAATGTAAGGCTAACCCCTTGTTTTTTTGTCAATTTTGGCCAAAAAATGAAATTCCTTGAAACTTGCAGGAAAGATGCCTAAAGTAACCCTGATCACGTTCCGATTCGATTTGGGAGTAGATGTGCCTTTGAAAAGAAAATTTGGCCGAAAGTTTTGGGTAAAATCAGTCAAAATTCGATTTGATTTACATGTATTTCCTCGCCCCAAAATGGATGATTTATGCCTAGATCTTCCAAAATGTGGATGTTTGAATATTGATTCATGCTCCACTCGTCTCCAGAGGTATTTCTGCGTTGTTTTGAGAAAAGTCAATTTTTGGCCAAATTTGGTTTAAAATGTAAGGCTAACCCCTTGTTTTTTTTGTCAATTTTGGCCAAAAAATGAAATTCCTTGAAACTTGCAGGAAAGATGCCTAAAGTAACCCTGATCACGTTCCGATTCGATTTGGGAGTAGATGTGCCTTTGGAAAGAAAATTTGGCCGAAAGTTTTGGGTAAAAACAGTCAAAATTCCGTTTTATTTACATGTATTTCCTCCCCCCAAATGGATGATTTATGCCTAGATCTTCGAAAATGTGGATGTTTGAATATTGATTCATGCTCCACTCGTCTCCAGAGGTATTTCTGCGTTGTTTGGAGAAAAGTCAATTTTTGGCCAAATTTGGTTAAAATGAAGGCTAACCCCTTGTTTTTTTGTCAATTTTGGCCAAAAAATGAAATTCCTTGAAACTTGCAGGAAAGATGCCTAAAGTAACCCTGATCACGTTCCGATTCGATTTGGGAGTAGATGTGCCTTTGAAAAGAAAAATTTGGCCGAAAATTTGGGGTAAAATCAGTCAAAATTCGATTTGATTTACATGTATTTCCTCGCCCCAAAATGGATGATTTATGCCTAGATCTTCCAAAATGTGGATGTTTGAATATTGATTCATGCTCCACTCGTCTCCAGAGGTATTTCTGCGTTGTTTTGAGAAAAGTCAATTTTTGGCCAAATTTGGTTAAAAATGTAAGGCTAACCCCTTGTTTTTTTGTCAATTTTGGCCAAAAAATGAAATTCCTTGAAACTTGCAGGAAAGATGCCTAAAGTAACCCTGATCACGTTCCGATTCGATTTGGGAACAGATGTGCCTTTGGAAAGAAAATTTGGCCGAAAGTTTTGGGTAAAAAACAGTCAAAATTCGGTTTTATTTACATGTATTTCCTCCCCAGAAATGGATGATTTTTACCTAGATCTGCCAAAATGTGGATGTTTGAATATTGATTCATGTTCCACTCGTCTCCAGAGGTATTTCTGCGTTGTTTTGAGAAAAGTCAATTTTTGGCCAAATTTGGTTAAAAATGTAAGGCTAACCCCTTGTTTTTTTGTCAATTTTGGCCAAAAAATGAAATTCCTTGAAACTTGCAGGAAAGATGCCTAAAGTAACCCTGATCACGTTCCGATTCGATTTGGGAGTAGATGTGCCTTTGGAAAGAAAATTTGGCCGAAAGTTTTGGGTAAAAACAGTCAAAATCCGTTTTATTTACATGTATTTCCTCCCCCAAAATGGATGATTTATGCCTAGATCTTCCAAAATGTGGATGTTTGAATATTGATTCATGCTCCACTCGTCTCCAGAGGTATTTCTGCGTTGTTTTGAGAAAAGTCAATTTTTGGCCAAATTTGGTTAAAAATGTAAGGCTAACCCCTTGTTTTTTTGTCAATTTTGGCCAAAAAATGAAATTCCTTGAAATTTGCAGGAAAGATGCCTAAAGTAACCCTGATCACGTTCCGATTCGATTTGGGAACAGATGTGCCTTTGAAATAAAATTTGGCCGAAAATTTGGGGTAAAATCAGCCAAAATTCGATTTGATTTACATGTATTTCCTCGCCCCAAAATGGATGATTTATGCCTAGATCTGCCAAAATGTGGATGTTTGAATATTGATTCATGTTCCACTCGTCTCCAGAGGTATTTCTGCGTTGTTTTGAGAAAAGTCAATTTTTGGCCAAATTTGGTTAAAAATGTAAGGCTAACCCCTTGTTTTTTTGTCAATTTTGGCCAAAAAATGAAATTCCTTGAAACTTGCAGGAAAGATGCCTAAAGTAACCCTGATCACGTTCCGATTCGATTTGGGAGTAGATGTGCCTTTGGAAAGAAAATTTGGCCGAAAGTTTTGGGTAAAAACAGTCAAAATTC